ACTGTTTATAATACAATATTTTTTTCATAAATTTTAATGATTTCGCTTTTAATTGTCATCAGAATGAAATTGCATATAATGCTTCTAGGACAAAGGGATAAGTCCGGAATACCAGAAACTTCACTTACAAAATCGACAAGTTCCAGAAACTTTCTGGTAGATGCATTCAATGGTGGTGCATCGTCTATTCAGATACCCTCGGGTGTATTGTACAGTCTCGAGGAAGAAGAGGAGGAGGAGATTCTCAATAATGACATTAAGGAAGTATGCGCCTTCAGCTCTCGGTTGTCTAAAACTCTACCGGAAATACTTAAGGATAAAAGTGCCCTTGGTTACTTCATCCAGTTTATGGACACCAGAAAGCACATAGCTCTTATCAAGTTCTGGTTAGAGGTGGAGTGCTTGTGTAGTGCATCTGGGATGCCAGATACACAGAAAGTCAGACAGTCAAATCAAAAGGAGATGATGAACGCCTTGCCTACGTCCTTAGACGATAATGAAAACTTTAGCTGTGACATACTCGCTAGCAATGTAAATACTCAAACGAGCAGTGAAATACCGTTCAATGAGAGAACATGTGATGTAACGTCTAACGGTATGCCAAAGACTAGTCAGGCAATAAGCGACACGCGACAATCAAACCACGATTGTGAAGGTAGGAGACACGACACAACGACGACTAGGCAGGATGCTTTGAGAATTTACAAGAAGTATATTCTCAAAGAAGCTCTGGATGTAAATCAAATATCTGAGAAACTAAGGCTAGATATGGAGAAGGCCATTGTCCAAGAAAACATTGAGCCTATATTACGGTGCCTATCTGCTGTTCAAAGCATAGTATACGATATATTAGAAAACGAGTAAGTGATGTATATTTATTGATAAGTGTTGTTCGAATAAATAATCAATTCATTTTAAAACATTGTATTTTTCGCAGGTATATTAATGATTTTGTACGAAGCGAATTTCACTGTAAGCATCAAATTGACGTGCTCACCAGTGGCAATGTTCAATTAGCAGATATATTATACAACGAAACAGCATTCTTTTATTTCATGGAGGTTTGCATCGTCCTTCACAATTGTTACTTTTACAGAAATTTTCATAAGAGACTATTGTTTACATTCTTTACAGTTTATGGAACTCGAGAATAAGCGAGAGTTATTGGACTTTTGGATGTCGGCTATAAGTTATAAACAGAATCTCTTGGAGAAACAGGGAGCAGCCAATCCCGAAGAAGCGCAATCTGATGCCGTTATTATATACGAGAAGTAATTTCTAAAATATATATGATTATACGGAGGAAAGAAGTAAAAATAATTTATAATGTTATTACCTTTCTCACAGATATTTCAGTTTACAAGCAACCATGCCTCTTGGATTTAGTGATAAGATTCGTTTTTATGTGGAACAGAATATTTGCCGTGAGGATGAGAGCGGTCCACAACCCGATTGTTTTGATAAACCCAGTAAAATTGTATATAATTTTCTCAATAAGGTACCACTCATCTATTACACAAATTTATCTTGAACTCCATACACTACACTCACTAAATAGACTCTTACGTTGAAGTAGTTGTATTAAAAGCCAATACTTTCTTCTAGCATTATCTGCCAGTGTTCTTATCGTCGCAGCTGTATTACAAATACTTATCAGAGTTAATCAACACAATTCAAACCAGTCCGTGTCCGAGTTTACATTCCAAGATAAGAAGAACAGGTTGATATCGATTGCAATAATGTGTTAATACTCGTGAAAGAATATTAAAGAATTAGAGAGTTATATCTTAATACCTGTGTTTTCTTCTTTTATATATGTAATTTTTATAAATAGTTTTATATATTTATATAATATATATTATAATTTTGAAAAATATATTATTTGCAGGTTCCGATTGCAGCAGTGAAGTAAGCTCAGTGTGTACTAGTATGCCAAGTATTTCTCAAATAGGAAATAATGGCAGCAAATTACCTGATAATAAGAAAACTATTAATAGTCATCTGAATATTGACACTAGGCAACTTTACGATCCAGATTCCTTATGGCGACGTAATAAATATAGGTATTTGATTGAATTTAATATTGTACACACATTCGTACTAATTTGTAAGTTACAAATAATTCGGTATATTTTTATTAGTTTGAGCATTGGTTACGTTGACAACTTAGGTAGATTTATTACTGAAATAGAGCCAGATCCTCATAGAAAATATGGTAAGTCACGTTTATAATAAGTTCTGATATGTATATATACGAGATTGTATAAAATTATGTAAACAATTTCAGAATCTCGTCTAACTCGTGTCGTAAAACGATTTGTAAATATAGAACAAGATAAGGTAAACATTTTATAATACTGGCATTTTATAACGTTAGAATGATTTGTTAATAAAAGACATAATGGTAATTTATTTACATATAATGTGCATTATTTAATTAATACATTAATCACGATTAACAGGCTAAAGAGGAATTAGCATGGAGAATCGCCGAGATGATCATTCGTGAAATCACATCTTTAACGCTTGGAGCTTCAAATCTTCCCTCTTGATGGTGCAAACTTGACGTGACGATTCTGAGGCTTAAGTTTTCTTTAAGTATAAAATATTTTGTGGATTTGTGTGTACAAATCAAGTGCTTTGTTTTTTTATTTTAAACATTAGCGGAACAATAATGCAGACTTTGCCAAAGTGCCAAACAGATAAATGAAAAATTCTCATTCTCATTCTAATTCTTTTATAATACATCTTGAAAGGAAGTACTACTTGTAGGAAGGAATGGCTTTCGTATGTTGTAGTGTTTTTACATTTTACATTTTGGCATAGCAATAAAATAGAGATTTGAATTTGCTAATAAATGATTTAATTTGAATTTAAAATTAATATAAATAACTTCATAAAAATTGACATATATATTTAACTATATTTACAATTCGTTGCATAAAATAATTTAAAGATCTTATAAGCAGTATAATCTATAATATTTTTTGTAACTATTAAAAGTTCTTCCTATTCTATTAATTTATTATACAATACTCGAGCAAAAAACAATAATTTAACGAATGCGCAATTTCTTCATCGTTAATTATGACATCAGAAGTGAGAAATCCAAATGATTATTTTACCGCTTATATCTATATAAATAATTAAATTTATATTCATGAAACAATACTCTGTGATTATAATATAGCAGATTGATGTGCATCAAAATTTATATAGAATATTTAAAGTAATCTCATTAGAGTAATTCTATCTACTTTTTTCATTTTATCTTCAATCTTATTTGCTAAACTCTCTCTTATTAATATTATTCGTATTATTTTTCTCGCTTCTGAGAGAAATGACTATGCAGATATTGATGAATTCTTAAAATATAAGATTTTGTACTTTTTTCATTACCAATTTGTATACATATACATATGTACATGTGTGTGTATATATATATGTATGTATAATAAAATGCATTAAAATAGGTAATGAAATATATGTACATACAATAATGCATGTAACCGCCGTTGATCGTGATATTATGATATAGAGAAAAGATATATTTTAACAGTATTTAGAGCGTATAACACGTAATGTTTAAGTACAAAATGTTATTAATAATGAGATCCCTATTATACATGCTCTATTTCTATTTTGTTATATTTTTTTATTTATGAGATCATTATACAACGCATATTGTGTAAAAAAGACTATCTTTTAAAAAGGCACTCTATCTTTTAGAAGTAATTAAACAATCCATTTTATATTACATATGCATCTGTGCGCCGAATCTTCTGTTTAAGAAACTTGCATGCATACATCCGTTTTCGTTTTTATCTTCTTCATTGGTCTGTTTCAAAATCTCGATTTTCTGTAGATTATGTCTTAATATTAGCTAAATTATGTCCACTTATTTTGTTTATTATATCGCGAATGTATAATGTATAAAAAATTATATTTTAATACGATATTTCTGTGTAATATATTAAAAATTCTATTTTATACAATATTTCTCTTGTCACATTTCGAAAAACTTTTTAATAAAATGTTGATTTAGTCAAGACGTTTCTAATAAAAAATCTTATTAAATCGTGCTTTAAAAAAAATGTCCAATTTATGTATAAAAACTGACTTTATGTTTTAAATCTTCCCATGTCCGTATCAGATTACTTTCAAGATCACAATCACTTCAGATTACAATCAAGATTGAGATTAGGTTGGAATTAAAGTTCATTAAATTTACTCATTGGTTTTTTTTTCTTTTGATTGGTTAAATTCTAATTCAATCTCAATCTTAATCAGTAATCTGATGTGGGTATTATATAAATTTCGTAAATATATATTGAATCTCTACGATATAGCACGATACTATTTATACTTTTGATAAACTGGCAGTAAAATAGATTCTCACAGAGACGAAGATCCATGATTTATACTGATATGTGGTATTTTCTGTTCGTATCCTATTCGTGGATTTAGTAATGGAGATGATTCAGAAACATGCACATCGCTATCTATTTTGGGAATTGCATTTAAATTTATATTAGTGCTCGATTTAAAATTTTGACAACATTCAAAACGTAATTTCTCCCTTCGAGTCCATGATTGATAAACAATCGCGTTAAAAAACGCTTGAAGGGGGTTTGTCACAGCCTGTCGATTAGAAATTGACTCAATCATTTTCTTATATTTAGCCATGCACTTAAAATGATGATATTTATATGAACCATTTATATGAACATACCATTATGTACCATAAAGTGATGATTGCCTTGATTGGTAACTGAAACCATGAGATCCACAATAGTAATCCATTAATTAAATTGGGCGTCCAGCATACATAGTAGACCAAATTGATAAGAGCGAATTTTATTCTAATCGTTTGTATCAACTTTCGCTCTCTGCCAGTCACCTGAGCCATGCTGTGCAGAACCACCGTTTCAAGATCACGAGTCGATGCGACGTATAGAATGGGATTCACGATCATGACCACTGCCAGTAACACATACGTGGCGAAGTAATTCGGAAGGATACGCATTATCGCACTGGATAATGATGTTAAGTTGTGGCAGCTGCAAAACAATTTTGCATTTGTTACCATTGCTCTAAGAGTGCATGAAATAATTTGTGATACTTCTAAAATCTGACTTTGCATCGGGAATGTATAGAATGATCAGCCCGAACGAGGTAAGAATGGCAGGAAGCACCCAGGCTAAGGTGTGATAGCACGCAGGACGTCCATTTTTATCTCCCAATAGTAACTTCATGTCCACTGCGTAACACAACGTCCATATCCACGTGGCCATATAGAAATACTGAATCCATGCCTACGAGCAATAATCTATCATAATGAATTCAGTCACACGCGCTCCACTTGATTAGTGCATTGAATGCTACTTTATATAAAATATCTAAATGCAGTAACGTGATATAATCAATTTTGAAATAAAATATATTTTGTTAAATAACGTGGCAATATTATTATTAGATATTCAACCATTTAAAATATTTATATATTTTACGTTTAACTTTGTTAAATTTTATGTATAGCAACTTTTAGTACGCCTATAATCTACTATAATATAAATTCCGAATTCACTATCAATATACCAGTAAATTTTCAAGTATCTCTACCCAAGTATATCAACATTACCGATAACACAGCACAAAACACCACGTTCGATATATCTCCTTCCATTGGTATAATGGACTTGAAATTTCTCCATAGCACTGATCTCACAAACACACCTAATTGAATACAAAACAACCAGATAAGACACCTATCTTGTTTACCTATTTATCACATCATCGTATTTATTCGCCAAAAAGTAAACATAATTATAACTAATTTATGAATGTTTATGTACTATTAACTGCTATTCATACAATCAAATTGCGATAACAAACTAGACCTAAGGACGCTAAGAGATCGGCAACTGCAAGCCATACAATAATATCTCGTCCTCTGAAGAAGCTCCTCCAACGATAAGAACTATTCGAATCCGCTCGAGGTAGTATCTGAAAAAATATATTTTCCTCAGTGCTTAACAATGCCAATTTCCTTTGATACCTTCAAATATTTCTCATCAAATTTACATTAATCTGTAACATTGCATGATGTGTAAATATATTTTTTCACTATGACTGTAATTATATATATATAAAACAAATATGTAAAATTATTTCATATTTTATTCAAATAATGTTTTTATCATATTTTACATCACTGTTATTCAATATAAATACTTTTATACCGGTTTCTTTTAGCTGCACTTTTCTATATATTTGTCATATGTGAAACAGGATAAATGTATATATATTAAAGGAAGAAACAAAGTGTAAAAAGTGTAACCAAAACAATCGCATCATGACAGAAAAGTTCCAATTTCAAAATAATATTTTCTAGCAATCGAATTCAGTCGTAATAAGAACTCTATATCTTAGATGAATTCCTGTTCTGTATGTTAGTTATTACAAATTAATAAAAGAAACGAAGCAAAGGAGGGGGAACATTCGGAGATAACATTTCGTGTAAATTTACCTGATAAATCGCGCCTATCATGCCCATCGTCGATGAGAACATGCATACTGTGTTGTACGCATCTGTATTGAATTCCTGCATTATCACTATCGCTCTATCCGTTCGGTTTGTGTGATGACAGCAGAAAGTTTGTAGGGTCGGGTCGGCCATTATTATAGAATGTTATCGCGGTCAAGTCCAGCGTGTTTCTGCCAGACACTATCCTACTCGATCTAGTAACTCTCCGATAGAAGGGAACCGCAGTTCCCCACTCGGGCATCTGGCAACCAATCGATACGTCCGAGATACGAACTTGTCTTATGATATACGAAATACATATTGGCATTTCTAAACAAAAATCTTGGTAGAAATCTTTTTTTTTATTGCAGCTTGGATAGCTTTATCCATTACAATCTGGAAATCAAAGTAATCCTATATAAAAAATAATTTTTGAACGCGTTCAGACTGACTTGTTCTATCTTTCAATAATAAATCTCAACTTGTTCTATTAACAAAAGTATATCAACTTATTCTTTTACTCTCTTATGTCCATTTCTATCAATGTAGATTAGTTTTTATTTCTGCTTAATTTATTCTTTATCCTTTTTTAATTCTTAAGATTTTTAATATTGATTTAACATATTTTTTATCTTTTTCTGATTCTTAGAATTAGAAAAATATAAAAAGTATGTTAAATCAAGATTAAAAATTTACATCAGCAGAAACAGACATTACTCTCTTATTCTTTTACTCTTTTACCCTCTTATTATTCATTAGATAAGTTATCACATAGTTATTATGTCCGAAGATAGAACAAGCAACCCTCAGTCACATTAAATTAATCGTATCAATGTATATACAGTTAAATAAGTTCGAGTTCAGTATTTTCTTCGCTTTATTATGTCTGGTCGCCAGTCGACAGGATGGGTTTCTTCAGTCTGAAAACATAGATAAAGAATAGTTGATGTAAAGTTCAGAAAATTACGAGTTAATTGAATATTATTAGTGTATCATCACCAAATAAGCATGATGAAAAATCAACTTACAGCAGTATCATCTTCTTTGTATACTTTGATAGTCTTATCAGCCTCTGTTGTAATCATGCGAATGCCCGACATGTCGAACGTGATACTGAATACTCCGGCTTCGCTATCCATTGAGCCTGGTTGGACCGGCGCTTGGAGCCGTTGGAAATTATATCCAGTTCGCCAGTCCCAGAGGTGCATGGTACCGTTGTCAGCACCGGAAACTAAAACGCCATCAGCATTCACGGCCAGGCAGTTGACTATGGCATTATGACCCGATAGGTTTTGAATGAATTTTCCCTCTGGACATTTCCACTGTTTGATATTGTCTGGCGATGCTGAGGCAAACATATATAGAGACGGATGGAACGTCAGAGCGCGCACACTCTTCTTGTGATTCGTTAGAGTGGCTCTGGACTTGCCAGCAGCCAAGTCCCACAAGCGAATTGTGCAATCGTGGCTACCAGTGATGATCTGCGGCTCGGCGGACTGGCAGATCACGCTAGCCACCGTATTGGTGTGTCCAACGAGTGTATGAACGTTTGCCTTGGTACGCATATCCCACACTCTTCCAGTGGAATCTCGTCCTGCTGTTACCAGAACGTCTATACTAGGATGTAACGCCATAGAATATACTGCTGACAAGTGGCCATGATAGTGTCTGATTACTTTATTATATTCCAGATCCCAGCATTTGACTTGCCGATCTTCTCCACAGGAAAATAAGTAGGGATGTCTTTGTGAAAATGCTAGACCACGAACGCTGCTTATGTGACCCGTTAACGAAACCTTCAACTTGCCACTCGCTAGATCCCATATCTGTAATTTTGAAAACATCAAATTAATGTATTGTTTTTTGTGTGTATTATAATAACTATTATGCAATTTTGAAAATACCAAATCATTGTATTATGAAATAAAAGCTATTTCATTAATTTTACATCTGGGACATTACTAAATAAATTGAAACATATTGTGCACTCACTTTGATTACTCTGTCGGCTGAGCCTGTAGCAAACCACTCGTTTCCAGGCTCCACGGCGCAACATCTCACCCAACCCAAATGACCGCTGATAACTCTGTACAATTTCCATGGGGCATGCCACTTGGGTTTCGCCATTGATGGTGTTTTCTTTGGTGGTATTGTGAGCGCACCACTGCTTACATTGCTTCCTACACCTGTTGACACTATACTTGTGCTGCTTTTTGTTATATTGTAAGGAACAACTGCTGAGGCATTAACTCCAAAAGTTTCATCTAAAGCATATTTATATAAAATTGATATAAGATATATGTAAGAGAGTAATAATTTTTATTTTTAACTTAATTATGTATATGCATAATATTACCTCCTGGTGGTGGAGGATCTGCAATGTCATTTTCTTGTTGCACTTTAGCTATATTATTTTGCTTGACTCGTTCTAATACTGGACCATAACAGTCTTTAGCTTTTATCACTTTCTTCATTTGTTGTCTAAAAATAAATATAAGTAAAAAATAAATATAAATTAATTAATGCTCTCCCATAAGATTAAAGCAAGAAGTTTCATTGACAAGTAATTCTCTCTAAACATAGCTATTATAAAAGTTTTATAAAAGTTTATGGCTGTAACAAAGACTGCTTTCCTTTTAAGAGACAAGTTATCTGTTTTCTGTAGATAAAATTACTTTTGGAACTTGAAATGAAACAGATGTGTTTTATATTTGTCAAAAATAAGAAAGTTATAGTAGTCTAGTGCAAGAATTAAAAAACAGGCCTATAATTGACACAAGTTGTTTTAGTTTTGTTATTTATTGAATATCAAGAAGTATAGAATAACGTTTATGTTGACTGTGTCTTCTAAAAAGAAAGCAGTCAGTAATTACGATGACAAGATACTTACAAAATAGGATCCTCCGGCGGTAGGGATCCTTGATTTAATAAAAACATATCGTGAGTCCTTTTTAGAGACCGAAACACTAGCGTGTGCACAGAGTGCCGTTGAACATCCTAGAACAAGATGACATGTTAACGAAATTTGTAAAAATCCGTAGAGTATAATTGTAAAAATATATTTTTTATCACAAAGAATATATTCAATAAAGTTTATTAAAAAGTTCTTACCATTCTTAATATTGTAAGATAAACGTAATGACAATTTTATTCTGAAATTGTAAATTACTTTTTTCGAATCTGTATTTCTGAGGTTATGAGTAGTGATGCCACTTGCCAGATTCTGATTCGATTCGATGTATCGAGAATCGATTCTTCTTTCACATTCAAAAATCGAATCGTCAGTTGAAGTTTGATCAACTCTTCATCTTTTTCTAATCTTTAGAATTAAAAAAAGAAGAGTGAAGTTGAACCGAGATTAAAGTTAATCTACATTGGTGGAAATGGGCATTAGTGGTTTAGTCCATTGGAATTAACCAATCGCATTTGTCGATTAACGACTATCGTTAATGTAAAGTTAATTGGAACCTGTCGGAGTGGACCTGGGAAATTCGATTCGATTCCTTTTTAGCTAGAATTGAGAAGATAATAATAGAGTTTTTATAATATTATTAATTAATTAAAAAAAACGTTTTTTAATTATGTAGAAAATTGAACTATGCATGCGCAGTTTTGACTTTGAAAAATAACATGACATAGATCTATAATTAAATCACAATTATATGATAGCAAATGTTAATTTGATTCAATTTAATTCTTCAAATTTTAATCGGTATTATTCATCTTCGTCTGATAAAAGAGAAGAGAAAGATCATCTCTGATATCTCTCCTCTTATATGAAAGAATTTAAATTAAAAAAGATTATATGTATATATATATATATCATCGCATGTACATATATATATATATATATATATATATATATATATATATATGCGAT